CAGGCTGTGCCCAGAAGATTCCCCAGGGATCCATTAACACCAGCGGATCCTTCCTCCAGCCCAGCAGGTCCCAGAGGATGGTTTTGCTGGCGATTTCCTCCCCCAGGGCAGGGGTAATTGTCTGGGACAGGGTGCTGGCAGGGCTGGCGCATGGGGAGAGGAAAGGGTGACCTGCTGCTCTGGGTGCAGGATGCTCAGATGTAAGGCCAGCTGCTGGAGCTACATGAAACCCACCTAGATATGAAGGTTGAACACTAAGGCACACTCCAGGTTGCTAACGTGTTTCCTGTCTTGACATCAACCCTCAGAGCTCCGGGATCACGTCTGAGGTCTCTACTAAAACCTGGGGCCAGGGGTGGTGGTGGTAGACAGGGTGAGGTTCCCAGGGCAGAGAAACCAGTCCGTTAACAAATCTATCAGGACAAGTTGTTACCGATTGCCAAGGAAGGCAGTGAGGAGCATCATGCCATCTCAGCATGGGCACTGCCACCCCACGTGGAGAAGTTTTAACTCCCAGGCACAGCATCCCACTTGTGTTTAAGTCTTTCCTGTGGTGGTTGTCTCTTCCACAGGTATAAGAGTGTGGTGACACCCCGGCGGGCAGCAGTGGCCATTGCTTGCTGTTGGATCGTCTCCTTTCTGGTGGGACTCACCCCTATGTTTGGCTGGAACAACCTGAACAAGATGCGGAGGACTCAGGAGCTGAACGCCAGCCACACGGAGTTTGTCATCAAGTGCCAGTTTGAGACAGTCATCAGCATGGAGTACATGGTGTACTTCAACTTCTTCGTTTGGGTCCTGCCTCCGCTGTTGCTGATGCTGCTCATCTACCTGGAAGTCTTCAACCTCATCCGCAAGCAACTCAACAAGAAGGTCTCCTCCAGCTCCAACGACCCCCAGAAGTATTATGGGAAGGAGCTAAAGATCGCCAAGTCATTAGCACTGGTCCTTTTCCTCTTCGCGCTCAGCTGGCTCCCTCTGCACGTCCTTAACTGCATCACCTTGTTCTGCCCATCCTGTGAGACGCCACACATCCTCACCTACATTGCCATCTTCCTCACCCACGGCAACTCGGCCATGAACCCCATTGTCTACGCCTTCAGGATCAAGAAGTTCCGGACAGCTTTCCTGCAGATCTGGAACCAGTACTTCTGCTGCAAAACCAACAAAAACGTCAGCAGCACCACGGCCGAGCCAGGCAACTAGCAGCTGGCAGAGAGCAGAGAGGGGTCCTCCATGCCCAGCCCAGTCCCCATCTGGCCACAGTTCCTGCTGCCAGGGGACAGGGTAGTGATGACCCGGGAGGGCTGGGTTCACCAGCCCTGTGCAATCCGAACAGCCGTGTCCCCCAGCTGCCCCAGGGGGTTATTTATTCACAAGCATCGTACTGTTTTGATATTGTAGCCTGCACTGTTCCTTTCCTTTTTTTTTTTCTGTTTGTTTTTGTTTTTCATTTTTTTAAGGGTTGCCAAGTATTTAAGGAGAAATTGTACAGACAAAGACGCAGTTTATCTTCATGCAAATAAAGTAAAATGATAAAAACCACCCAGGAGGTCCTCTGCCATTGATGGAGACCTCTGGCTCCTTGAAGCACAGCAGTTGGTGATGCTGGGGGCACTTCACACTCTGGCCCCCGCGTCCATGGACCCATGTGGGTACTTCGGCACTGGTGGGAGTGAAGCTGCTGAGAACTAGGAGACCCCAGGGCAGTGTGATTTCTGCAGCTCTGAAGCTGGGAGCTTTCAAGCCCTCTCTTTCTCCTCCATAACCAGGAAGAAGTGAGCTGGGCTGAGACATGAGAAGAGATAGGAAAAGGCACCCCATGGCAATGCCAGCACCCACAGGGTGAGGCATCCACCATCCCCACAGAACGAAGGGTCAGTCTCCAACTCTCAGCACCAACAGAGTTAGGTAGAGGGGAAAGGAAATCCTTAGGCATAACGCCAGAGTACTCTGCAAGAAGTACCCTTTGCTACCCTGATGGCTCCCCATGGACCCCAGCAGCACCTACCACTCCCTGCGAGCTACACCAAGGGAGCTGTGACCTCTCCATGTGTCTTGTCCCTCCTTTTACTTGGGCTTTGAGTCATTTTTCCTTGTTTTCTCCTGCCTGTCTTCTGTGCAAGGCAGTAGCAAGTCTCTCCTAGCCCCTGTTGGTCTCATCTCTCCCACATCGCTCCCTACAACTGTCCCTGTACAGCCAAACCCTTTTGACCCAAATTTTGCAGGTTGATGCAGCCACCTCCACGGCCTAGGGGAGCAGAGAGGCACCTGCAGCTATTTGGGAGCGAGTGGTGGCTGCCCACCACCG